GACCACCAGCCACAAGTCATTTAGATTCAACGGCAGTGGACCCTCGAGCAATAGGAGGGTGAGGGGCCCCGAGCCCCTGGGCACTTGAAAAACCAGGAGTAACTTTTGACTTTCCAAAACTTTCACTGCTCGTAGCCTACTGTTGACCAGAAGCCTTACCGATCACACAAACATATATATTCTATGTTGTATCCTTACAATAAAGCTCAATAAAATAGTATCAATAAAAACACAAGGAAAAAATACAGTTGGGGCACATGGGCGGCTCAGTCAGTTAAGCATCTGCCTTCGGCTCAAGGTCATGAGTCCGGGATCATGGGATTAAGACCCGCATCGGGCTCCCTGCTCAGTGGGGAGTCTGCTTCCCCCTCTCCCCCAGCCACTCCCCTGCTGTGCTCACTCTCTCTAAGAAATAAGTAAAATCTTCAAAAAAAAAAAATACATTTATAGAATTGTGCTGTATTTATAAAAAAAAAAAAAATCTGTGGTAATTGGACCCACACAATTCAAACTCATGTTGTTTAAAGGGCAACAAATATTTCGGCACAAATGGCCTGATTCTGGCCAGAGACAGAACCACCTCACAACCACCTCCCAACTGTGGGCAGAACGGCTGTTAACTGTTGACACCGTCCTGAGGAAATATGAGAGGCAGGACGGGGTGACTGTGTTCCCCCTGGGAACTGCTTCCATAGCCATCTCCCTCTCCCCAACTGGGTCTCCTTTAAAGACCCAGAACTTTCTACTCTTCTCTTACCCCTGCCAAGTCCTGCCCTCGGAACCTACCAAAACTCTGAGGAAAAAAGTGACAATCAATCAGCATCCCTGTGCAAAGCAAGTCCAGCCCAATCCGAAGGGAATCTGCGACTCTAGACTCTCAGGGAAGATGGCGAGGTTCTGGGCTGGCTGCAGCCACGTGGGGAGTCAGCTCTGAAGCCCCCGTGAGGAGGCAGGCCCAACCCCCATCCACCCCCAGCAGCCAGAGGAAGAGAAAGGTCAGATATGCATCACGAAACTTGAGATTTGGGTTTATTCTCAGAAACTCGATTACTGGAGCTAAATTAAAGCCACAAAATGCTAAAAATAAGATAACTCTGACCAAAATACTTATTAAAATGTAATCCAGGGACACCTGGGTGCCTCAGTGGGTTGGGCCTCTGCCTTTAGCTCAGGTCATGATCCCAGGGTCCTGGAATCAAGCCCCGCATCAGGCTCTCTGCTCAGCAGAGAGCCTGCTTCCTCCTCTTTCTCTGCCTGCCTCTCTGCCTACTTGCGATCTCTCTGTCAAATAAATAAATAAAATCTTTTCTAAAAAAAATCTTTACAGGCGCCTGGGTGGCTCAGTGGGTTAAGCCCCCGCCTTCGGCTCAGGTCATGATCTCAGGGTCCGGGAATCAAGTCCCGTATCAGATTCTCTGCTCAGTGGGGAGCCTGCTTCCCCCTCTCTCTCTCTCTGCCTGCCTCTCTGCCTACTTGTGATCTCTACCTGTCAAATAAATAAATAAATAAAATCTTTAAAAAACAAAATCTTTAAAAATGTAATCCAAATCACTTTTTTAAAAAATCAGTCATTTCACTGCTTAAAAAGACCACCAGGCATATCTCAAGTTTATGGAGGAAGGACAACGGCATAATAATCTAGGGGCGGGGGGGGGACATTAATCGCTAATCTTTAAAATCAAAGTTTGCAATAAATGAATATGACAGCAGAAGTGAAAACACGTCCATCATTCTTGTTTGTCCCCTTTAACAAGTGTGTGTAGCCCTTTCGCTGCCGCCAGCTTCCCGAGCTCCTGACGGGAGACCAGTCCATGCTGCTACTGAGCAAGCTGGAGCTTTGTGGGGCCTGGGGGAGACACAACCGGCCAACACCCCCGGGTCTGGCAGTGTCCCCAGCATGGGTTCAAGGTCAACAGACAGCTCTGGCCCTCAGAATAACAGGTTGCAGAAGAACAGCCCAAGTTGGGCAGCTGCTGAGCACAAGCTGGTTATATACAGGGCAGGACCATTACCCATGGGATCAGGCGCATTATAGGGAAAAGAAGGGAAGATGGATGTCTGTAACTAGAACTTTCTGCCTAGCTGAAAGACTAGGACAAAGAAGGGACTTTCAGATGGCAATGGTTGGTCAGTGTTTTATAATGACCATGACACTGGATGTTTATGGAGCCCCATATCTGTGGAGCACCATGTCTATGGAGCCCCATTTTTCAGGCTGGCTCTTGCCACTGGGAGGAGGAGGGACGGTCCTGCCCCTTTAGTGATAAGAGCCCATGTCTTTGACACCGTGGAGTCCTGCCTTGGGAATGATGTTCCCACAGCAAAATGGCGGCTGGGCGTTCAGACGTCTCCTGTGCCTTCCCCATATTCCTTCTCTTCTTCCCACGCCCTGGCAGAAACACACCCATGCCCAGACTCCCAGAACCTCTGGGCCTCCTACACCTACCCTGTATGACTTGTGTAGCATCCCCTAGAGGTTGTTCCTTTTCTAACTTTTTCCTTTTTGAAAGTCAGCCTTGCGTTCAGCTTGTCCGAGGTGAGCTCTCCTCCAGGAACCAAGGACACAGTACAGATTTCACCCAGGAAATGTGGTGACAGCTGAACAAGGTGGGACCCCTCTCGGGAACAAAGGCCCAAACCATTTCATCTCAAGATCTTTACGAAAAGACTTGAACACTGAAAATTTCCAGGCCTCTGGTTTACACAGCTCTTCTCAGGGGCATTTTGGACCTTTTTCACTCCATACTGGAGACAACCAGCAATCCTGCTTCTCAGTTAAGAAGTGTCTATGAACGTGGATGGAATTGGAGGGTATTATGCTTAGCAAAATAAGTCAACCAGAGAAAGACAATTATCATATGATCTCCCTGGTATGAGGAAGTTGAGAGGCAATGTGAGGGGTTTGGGGATAGGAAAAGAATAAATGAAACAAGATGGGATCAGGAGGGAGACAAACCATGAGAGACTCTTACTCTCACAAAACAAACTGAGGTTGGTGGGGGGGGCGGTGGTTGGGTTATGGACATTGGGGAGGGTATGTGCTATGGTGAGAGCTGTGAAGTGTGTAAACCTGGCGATTCACAGACCTGTACCCCTGGGGCTAATAATACACTATATGTTAACCAAAAAAAATTTTTTTTAAAGTGTTTATGGAAATGAAGATACTCCCCTGTGGTTGTACACCTTGCAGACAGGTGACCCACTCAGGCCCAACCATCTGCTTCCTTCACTACTTGTCAGTCACTCCCTCCCTCCCTCCCTCCCTCTCTCATTCATCCCACCAACCTGATACCCTGAGTATTTGGCTTCCTAGATCCTTCTAGATCCTTCAAGATCAACACTCTCCCTACTAACCTAAAGGACGTCTGTCAGGAATTCAACACTACTGCTTCCTCTTTCCCATCAGGGAAGGGGTGGGGAAGTCAGTACATACCTCGGCTCTTGTCCTAATTATTTTCCGGCCCCCATAGCATTTCCTATTACTGGTTCTAAAAATGCATGACTGCTTGCCCTTCTAAAGGCTCTGGATGTGGTTTCATGTTATGATCTTCTCCCCTTTCTTGCAAAGTTCGATTATGCTAACAGGTGCCTCGAGGCTGCTCAGCAGAGAGAGGCTGACCTAGGCCTGGTCAGGAGCTGGGGAACACCCAGGAGCACTAGCCTTGCAGCTCCCATCAGAAAAAGGAGGAGAAAAGAGGAAAAATGCAGGAGATGGGACAGGGAATCAGAGCAGCAGGGTCTGCAGAGAGGAGAGTGATGTGCAGTGGGGGTAGGGGGCAGGTGCTAACCAGGGTTCCTGTGCCCACCACTGAGCACCAGACTGCATATACGTGGCTTTTTCAAAAGCGGAGATAACTACTTTTTATTCTTCCAGAGATGAATATCCTCTGGTTTTATTTGTTTTTGTTTTCTTTTTTTTTTCCTGCCTGCCAGCCAGCGAAGCAAAAGCTTTAAAGCTCACTCAGTGTCAAACCCCACTCATTGTCAAACAAATGGAGTATCCTGCAGTATTAGCCCGGGAATGCTAAGGGGAGGCTGGGGGCTTGCTTCTCTGCCTTCCCCAGAGTGGGGTTTCCAGCATTCTGATCACTTTCTAGAGACGGTCTTCACCCCAGGAATGACTCAAGGCTCAGTGGGTTAAAAGGAGCTTGTGTCCTTGTATGAAGCCAGACACACCCTTCTGACTGTTTCCTAACCAGTGCTCCCAGGTCATCAGCTTCTGTTCATTTACAAGGACTTCATGTCTTTTTCCTAAACAAACAGAAGTGTATGGGAAGATCTGTTCTCTGAACCAGCACCCTAGGAGACAAAAGTAGCCAACTGACGGGGACACGACAATACCCCATGGGCCACGGGACTGGGTGCCAGAGCCTCATCTTCTCACAAGGCTCGAGAATCATTCCTGCTGTCCTGCATGCCCAGGACGGTTCCCCAGCAGCCTGACCAATCAAAAGCATCTCTCCCTCTGACGGGGACGCTCCTAGGTCTTGAAGAGGCGCTCGCTGCTTCTCCTGCGTACCCTGCTACTCCCTCTATTATTATCTTTTTAAACGTAGTTTCAGCTTGGAGCCGCAAGAGCCTTCTACAAAGCAGCCCCAGCTAGTCCACGCTGCCTGTGCTTATCTGAAGCAAAATGGGAACATCAGTCGAATATTAAACAATTGCTTTCCTTAAATCTGTCCCACTTCCTGTCACATGGAATGGCAGTGTGATGGCTAGCCACACATATGAATAAGTAATGAAAGATAAAAAAAGGGATTTAAATAAAATACCCTTCATTACCGTGCTGCATTCTATCTGCGGCTAAGACAGCCTTCCGGAGCATTACAGCAAGGTGGGTTTAAGAGGCACACGCGCGCCCTAACGTGCTAGGGAGCCAGAGATTGGAAGGCCGGGCCCGGGGACGACGGGTGATGACTATCAAAGAGGAGCATGATTGCGTTGATTTATCTGCTATTTTTACTCTCAATCTTACAGGAATGATGTCCGGTTAATCCAAGTTGATAAATGAAGTGTCGGAAATGCCGTATTTCTTCGGAAGTTTGTCCCGGGCAGCGGTGCCCTTCTCAGGCAGAGGATGCGCAGACCGTAAGCTTTGCCACAGCGCCCTCTTGTGTCCCAAGGACCACAACGACGCTCTTCCCTAACCACCGTCCCCCCACCCCCCGAAACCCTATTATTACTTTAATTACAGATTAATTACACCCTTTCATCAAGGTTAGAAAAAGATTCCACACAAAGCATGACGGCTAGAGAGTCGAAGACATGCTTTGTGCTTTTTTTCTTCTTATTGTGACATCATTTCGTTTCAATGCTCTTTCCGGTTAGCGGTTGAGAAGTGGGCTGTAGGGTAAGACGCTCCGTGTTCAAGTCACCGATCTCTGGCTTACAGGCTGTCCTTGGACAAGTAACCAACATCTCTGTGTCCAGTCCCTACCTCCTAGAGCAGCTACCACAGTTAAGGCAAAAGACTTTGAAAGTGCCTGGAAACTTACAAAAAAAAAAAAAAAAAAAAAAAAGGTTAGCCAGTAGGTTACTGTTGTCATTATTGATAAATAAATCAGAGAATTATGTTTGTGCTTCAAGTGACTTTGGAGATAAGTAAGTCCAATCTCCTCATTTTGCAAGTGAGAAATCTCCAGTTTGCACAAGCAAAGTGACCTGCCACAGACACCTATCCACTTTACGGCAGAGCGGGAACAAGAATTCAGGCTTCTGGTTCTAGAAAATCTGAGTCCTTGGTCTCCCCATAGAATGGCTCCTTAGAAAGTGCTCCCTATGCTCTGAGTGTGCAGGGCACACACTGCTGGAGCAGGGCATGTGCTGGGAGCACATGGGACCCGTAGGACCAGTACTGAGCCTCACTCAAATACCAGGCAGAGGACTGAGCACAGGAGTAATGGGTAATCCCTGTCCACCTTCTATGAAGATGGTATCAGGGTGCTGAGATTTATCATCAAATATGGAGAGAACTGTGAACTACAGTTTACCCAGGAGTACTGGCCTCACATACTTTCAGGAAGCGTAGTACTAGATTCCCAATCCTCCACATCTTCTAAGAGAGTATCTGACTCTAACGGGGAAGGTCCCAGAGAGCCTTGTACGAATGTGGAACAAAGAAGCATGTTGGCTGTGGAACTCACTTCTCTCAGTGAAAGTTTCTGCTCATTTTGTTCTTAAAGAAGACACTATCACAAAAGGACAAATGTAGGATTCCATTCATATGTGGTACCTAGAACAAGCAAATTCATAGAGACAGACAGTGGGACAGAGTTGGCCAGAGGCTGGGGACAGGGGGATGGGGAGATAATGTTTAATGTCTATGGCCAATATTGCCAAGGAAATGTAAGCCAACCTGCAGATTGGTTAGTTCTTTTAAGTCACAAGATGATGTTTATTTTATAGGGGTAAAGATTCCTATATCGTGGATGAAGACTTATAATACCACAAAGACTTAATGAGGCAACACAACCTCCCCTCAAGTGAACCTTTGTGATTTCTTAACTCCCTTTTGATTTTCTAACAGACCTAATGCTGATGTATAATCACAGGTGTAAACACAATTACTTGTCGATGGGTTTGGCAGTCTGGGGCAAACATGAAGAGTGGCCGTTAACGAAAGTTACCAGAAAACTCTTCTGATGCAAAGATATGTGAACTCCAAATTTCAAGTATTAGTCTATACCCATTACCAGGTACAGCAAGTCAGCATGTTTGTAGGAAAAGACGAATTGAGGTGGGAAGACCAGGTTGCTGACCTAGCTCACCCACTCACTAGCAGTAGGGACTGGTCAAGGAGCATGACTTCCCTGGGCCTCACCTTGCTCCTCTCTATGCAGACTTGCTGCATGATCTCTAAAGGCCTTCAAGTCATCATCCTATGATCTGGGCCAAAAACTTGAAGTTTCTATGGCCATGGTGCAGAGTACTCTCCACAGCTCCATATGTGAAAAACTTCCAGAAAAGATCCAACCGTATTAAGGTTACAGTATCATGCATCAACTTAAAAAAAAATTCTTCCTTCTCTGAATGGAATAATCTGCATAAAGAAAGAGTGAATATAGGATTTCACAGATCAAAACAGCAAGAAAGTTGGAGGAACAATGTACAAGATTTTTGTTTGAGATACTCTCCTTAACACCCACTGTTCTTCCTAAACACTAATGCATGCAGTCCAGTGGCACAAAAAACGGCATTGCATCCCCTCAGGTTTTTGGCAGTAGCAATATGCAGAAAATGGGGGCAACTCTGGTGAGCCACATAAATGAAAAACCAAGACTTTCACAAAATCCAGACTAGAAAGCAAGAGCGTGATGCAGGGGGGAAAGAATGAACAATGCTAAAATTTCTACCTGCTTTCATCTGAAATTTCCCCCTCAGAAATCAGATTAATGGGGCCACCTGGGTGGCTTAGTTGGTTAAGTATCTGACTCTCGATTTTGGCTCAGGTCATGATCTCAGGGTTGTGGGATAGAGCCCCACGTCGGGCTCTGTGCTGGGTGTGGAGCCTGCTTGGGATTCTCTCTCTCTCTCTCTCTCTCTCTGCCCCATCCAGCCAGCTCACACACACACACACACACACACACACTCTCTCTCTCTCTAAAAAAATTAAAAAACAAAATAGATTTAAAAAAAAGAAATCAGGATAATGAAAAATTATGAGGATCATTTTGGAAGCATGGTGAGTTGAGGTCATTCTGTATGACGAAAGCTACGTTTGAGCTCAGATGTTCCTATCTTGCTGGCTGGTTATGCTCTGACAACAGATGCATGAAAAAGGATCTTCATTTTAAAAATCTACAGAACAAGCCATCATAGCCCTTTTGTATGGACAGGCACCAAAGCCAGAATTCCCCTACACAAGAGCGGGGGTGGTCTTCTCTTTGGTGTACAGTGATTTCCCCAAGGAAAGGAAGAACTGAATCCCCCCCTTTGATTCTGAGTGTGCTCTCATGGATTTCTGATTCAGAGCAGTTCTTTCCCTCCCCACCACGCCTCAGGGGACTGGAAGTACACTCGGCACTGGCAGCAGCTTCCTCTTCTTCTCACAGAGAGTAGAGACAAGGGACTCATTACCCTACTTTCTTAAAAAGTTCAGGACAAAAAAACAAATGAACTCGTCTAAGGATTCTGGTATTGGAAAGAAGTTGTGATCTGCCTCCTGACAGTTTATGAGTTTAATCTACGCAGCGGGTCTGAAGGAAACCATACCGTCTTATTAAAATGTAGTGGTTCAAATCTATCTGAAATCCACCTGAAACTATACGTCTGTTGAAAGAATATGTATAAACTATGTCAATCACAACTGAATTTTTTTATAACTTAATTTTTATTAGTCCAATATTTCCGTGTCAATGAAGCTGCAGGCCCCGCGGAGACATCATTCCCAACTTTGTACAAGCTGCTTCTTGACGCTTCTTTACAAGCTAATGTAGATACGTCTGTCATTTGTTATCCCTTATCAAAACGGGGTGACAAACTTTGTCATATGGAAACCACATGCATCTTTTGGAGTCGGGCAAAGCTGGTTCAAACGCTAGTTCTGTCACTCATGAACACGGGCACGTTGTACCCACACAGACCTCGGCTGCAGCAAACTGCATACATTAGTGTCCGTCTTCAAGGAGAAGCAAACGAAATGCTGTGCACACAGGACTCCCAGCTGGGCCTGGCACACAGGTCCCCAGTAAATGGCAGTTGCTGCCACCATCCTCCCACACCGCAAGTCATTCTGAGATGATCCCATCCGTGTTATGAAAATACTGCCCAGCGAGGTGTTTTTTCCAAATGCAGTGAAAACGTCCAAATGTTTCCCAGGTCACGCAAAGTGACTCAGGGACATGCATTAAGTCCTCTACAAGGAAACAGGAACAAGGAAGTCCCACTGGGTCTGCTTCTACAGCATTAAGGAAGGGTTGCCTGAACGCTGCCTTCAAGTAGTAAAATAGTATCGGACAATCAGACCCAAAACACTCGATGTGAAGACAAAAATGACGTCTAAAGACCAGAGAGGGAAAAATCCACCAAGCTTTTTTATAGGCAGGCTATGATTTGCCAAGGGTACTCTCAAATAGCTAAAACCCAATAATTTACTAAAGCAATGGAACACCAAATAATCATTTCTAAGTCATTTCTAAGAGGTGCACCTCTTTAGAGTTCAAACACGTCGCCATGAAGGGATCTTCACAAGGGGAAGCAGTTGCCGTGAGGGACAAAGGCGCCGGGAAGGCTCCACTCAAAGGCAGAATCCCATTCCCGCTCTGCCTACTGACAGCCACCAGCACTCCTTCCAGTCAGTCCTTCCTCCTGTCGATGGTATTCACACAAGGTGATCTTGTAAATCAGAAATTAAATCATGATCATAAAGCATGATTATCTGTAAAGTTATAGAACTGTTATTAATCGTTGTGTTTTAGAGCCTACTCATACTACCCAGCGAGAGATGCAACTGATAAATCTTCAAGAATTTTTTCTTAAAGATTTTACTCATTTATTTGACAGACAGAGATCACAAGTAGGCAGAGAGGCAGGCAGAGAGAGAGAGGAGGAAGCAGGCTCCCCGCTGAGCAGAGAGCCCGACGTAGGGCTCGATCCCAGGACCCTGGGTTCATGATCTGAGCCGAAGGCAGAGGCTTTAACCCACTGAGCCACCCAGGTGCCCAAATGTTCGAGAATCTTTAAAACTAATTATTAAACCATGGGTAGCTTAAAGTCAGCCACAATCGGAGCATTTATACCATGGAAATGGCAGACGTTGCAAATCAAGGTTTTGTTTTGTTTTTTCATTTTTTCTAGTGAGCTGGTTATTAAACATTTACCGACACACCACGGGTTCTAGTTAATATTATAAACACAGGAAATTTCCTAAGCCAACAGATGAGTGAGCAGAAGTCCAGGGAAAAGGAATCTACTGTGAGGTGATAAATGTCGATCAGATCCGTAAAGAAGCATTACATCAGAGAGAATGGACATGGGGTAACCCATGATTAGACATGTTAAATCGAAAGGTGAG